GTTGTTGCAAGGGCAATGGTCCAGTCAACATTTGTGCCAAGTTTGATTAGTGTTGAAGCAGTTTTTATAGTATTATAGCAATTTGAACTTGTAACGGGAGACTTTTCAATGAAAACAGCCATTTTTCACAAAATGCTCATGAAGTAATGGGTTAATGAAAAAAATAAAAAAATCTACAAAACAACAATTTTTCTTCAAATTTATATGACAGGCCATGTTTAAACATGGAAAAACGCGATTTAGGGTAATTTCAAGTATTTTCATCATTTTCTGTTAACCCATTACTTCATATACACGCCTTTTAACGCCTTTTTCACCCCCCCCCCCTTTTTGTTGTCTCAAATGGTGAAAAAATGCCTTATTTGGGCCCCCAACACTTGTTTTCTTTTGCGAAATGTTGTTAAAAAAAGTGACCACTCTTTCGGTGCGGCCCCCCATCCAAAAGATACATCAGGGGTTGCCAGAAGGGGGATGTGTCCCCTTCTGTTTGGGGGGTTTGAAGGGGGGCGGAGTCCCCCTCATCGCCACGAACATTTTGGACTTGTGAGAGGCTATAAATGACCCGAGATTGATCATAAGGTAAACGTGTAACCAACGCTGAAAAGCATTTGACTCTATCTCAATCCATTGAGAAGTTGCAGCACTTTGAAATCAATTATGATGGAAAAAATCAACGCAAAATATTGATTTTTGGCAATTTTGAGATGTCCCCTCGTTGCCATGGTAACAGAAAATTTAAGCCTGAGCATGTTGTTGCAAGGGCAATGGTCCAGTCAACATTTGTGCCAAGTTTGATTAGTGTTGAAGCAGTTTTTATAGTATTATAGCAATTTGAACTTGTAACGGGAGACTTTTCAATGAAAACAGCCATTTTTCACAAAATGCTCATGAAGTAATGGGTTAATGAAAAAAATCAAAAAATCTACAAAACAACAATTTTTCTTCAAATTTATATGACAGGCCATGTTTAAACATGGAAAAACGCGATTTAGGGTAATTTCAAGTATTTTCATCATTTTCTGTTAACCCATTACTTCATATACACGCCTTTTAACGCCTTTTTCACCCCCCCCCCTTTTTGTTGTCTCAAATGGTGAAAAAATGCCTTATTTAGGCCCCCAACACTTGTTTTTGTTTGAGAAATGTTGTTAAAAAAAGTGACCACTTTTTCGGCGCGGCCCCCCAACCAAAAGATACATCAGGGGGTTGCCAGAAGGGGGATGTGCCCCCTTCTGTTTGGGGGGTTTGAAGGGGGGCGGAGTCCCCCTCATCGCCAAGAAAATTTTGGACTTGTGAGAGGCTATAAATGACCTCAGATTGATCATAAGGTAACGTGTAACCGACGCTGAAAAGCATTTGACTCTATCTCAATCCATTGAGAAGTTGCAGCACTTTGAAATCAATTATGATGGAAAAAATCAACGCAAAATAGTGATTTTTGGCAATTTTGAGATGTCCCCTCGTTGCCATGGTAACAGAAAATTTAAGCCTGAGCATGTTGTTGCAAGGGCAATGGTCCAGTCAACATTTGTGCCAAGTTTGATTAGTGTTGAAGCAGTTTTTATAGTTTTATAGCAATTTGAACTTGTAACGGGAGACTTTTCAATGAAAACAGCCATTTTTCACAAAATGCTCATGAAGTAATGGGTTAATGAAAAAAATAAAAAAATCTACAAAACAACAATTTTTCTTCAAATTTATATGACAGGCCATGTTTAAACATGGAAAAACGCGATTTAGGGTAATTTCAAGTATTTTCATCATTTTCTGTTAATGAAAAAAATAAAAAAATCTACAAAACAACAATTTTTCTTCAAATTTATATGACAGGCCATGTTTAAACATGGAAAAACGCGATTTAGGGTAATTTCAAGTATTTTCATCATTTTCTGTTAACCCATTACTTCATATACACGCCTTTTAACGCCTTTTTCACCCCCCCCCCTTTTTGTTGTCTCAAATGGTGAAAAAATGCCTTATTTAGGCCCCCAACACTTGTTTTCGTTTGAGAAATGTTGTTAAAAAAAGTGACCACTTTTTCGGCGCGGCCCCCCAACCAAAAGATACATCAGGGGGTTGCCAGAAGGGGGATGTGCCCCCTTCTGTTTGGGGGTTTGAAGGGGCGGAGTCCCCCTCATCGCCAAGAAAATTTTGGACTTGTGAGAGGCTATAAATGACCTCAGATTGATCATAAGGTAACGTGTAACCGACGCTGAAAAGCATTTGACTCTATCTCAATCCATTGAGAAGTTGCAGCACTTTGAAATCAATTATGATGGAAAAAATCAACGCAAAATAGTGATTTTTGGCAATTTTGAGATGTCCCCTCGTTGCCATGGTAACAGAAAATTTAAGCCTGAGCATGTTGTTGCAAGGGCAATGGTCCAGTCAACATTTGTGCCAAGTTTGATTAGTGTTGAAGCAGTTTTTATAGTTTTATAGCAATTTGAACTTGTAACGGGAGACTTTTCAATGAAAACAGCCATTTTTCACAAAATGCTCATGAAGTAATGGGTTAATGAAAAAAATAAAAAAATCTACAAAACAACAATTTTTCTTCAAATTTATATGACAGGCCATGTTTAAACATGGAAAAACGCGATTTAGGGTAATTTCAAGTATTTTCATCATTTTCTGTTAACCCATTACTTCATATACACGCCTTTTAACGCCTTTTTCACCCCCCCCCCCTTTTTGTTGTCTCAAATGGTGAAAAAATGCCTTATTTAGGCCCCCAACACTTGTTTTCGTTTGAGAAATGTTGTTAAAAAAAGTGACCACTTTTTCGGCGCGGCCCCCCAACCAAAAGATACATCAGGGGGTTGCCAGAAGGGGGATGTGCCCCCTTCTGTTTGGGGGGTTTGAAGGGGGGCGGAGTCCCCCTCATCGCCAAGAAAATTTTGGACTTGTGAGAGGCTATAAATGACCTCAGATTGATCATAAGGTAACGTGTAACCGACGCTGAAAAGCATTTGACTCTATCTCAATCCATTGAGAAGTTGCAGCACTTTGAAATCAATTATGATGGAAAAAATCAACGCAAAATATTGATTTTTGGCAATTTTGAGATGTCCCCTCGTTGCCATGGTAACAGAAAATTTAAGCCTGAGCATGTTGTTGCAAGGGCAATGGTCCAGTCAACATTTGTGCCAAGTTTGATTAGTGTTGAAGCAGTTTTTATAGTATTATAGCAATTTGAACTTGTAACGGGAGACTTTTCAATGAAAACAGCCATTTTTCACAAAATGCTCATGAAGTAATGGGTTAATGAAAAAAATAAAAAATAAAAAATTCTACAAAACAACTGTTTAAACATGGAAAACGCGATTTTGGGTAATTTCAGGTATTTTCACCATTTTCTGTTAACCAATTACCCGCTATATACGCCTTTTAACCACCACCCCCTTTAGTTGTCTCAAATGGTGAAAAAAATGCCTTATTTAGGCCCCCAACACTTGTTTTTGTTTGAGAAATGTTGTTTAAAAAAGTGACCACTTTTTCGGCGCGGCCCCCAACCAAAAGATACATCAGGGGGTTGCCAGAAGGGGGATGTGCCCCCTTCTGTTTGGGGGGTTTGAAGGGGGCGGAGTCCCCTCATCGCCAAGAAAATTTTGGACTTGTGAGAGGCTATAAATGACCTCAGATTGATCATAAGGTAACGTGTAACCGAACGCTGAAAAGCATTTGACTCTATCTCAATCCATTGAGAAGTTGCAGCACTTTGAAATCAATTATGATGGAAAAAATCAACGCAAAATAGTGATTTTTGGCAATTTTGAGATGTCCCCTCGTTGCCATGGTAACAGAAAATTTAAGCCTGAGCATGTTGTTGCAAGGGCAATGGTCCAGTCAACATTTGTGCCAAGTTTGATTAGTGTTGAAGCAGTTTTTATAGTTTTATAGCAATTTGAACTTGTAACGGGAGACTTTTCAATGAAAACAGCCATTTTTCACAAAATGCTCATGAAGTAATGGGTTAATATACGATATAAAATAACAAACTGATCTATGTGACATTATTATACAATTATTTTCCAATATACAAGTATATAATGAAAAATGTATTGCCAAATTATTTAAATTATAATTTTATGTTCTTTATCAATTGTTCATTATTAAAGAGGGCATTAAATAATACACTCAAACAATAATTTAAAAAACAAATGTCCATTTCGCGAAATGGAGTCCATCTCGCATTCTATTACCCATCCACTGTGAATCTTGTCAAACTTTCAACAGTTCAACATCTTAAATTTATTGCATATTGTTACTTCTTTACATAAATAGATGATTGTTTGCTTACAAAACTTATTATATTACATTATATTTTTTTTACAAAAAAAAAGGAAAAAAAGATATGTTGCCTACACTTATTCTAATTCATGTTGAGTATTTTGTTTGAATATGCTAATATGCTAAGCCTAAGGTAGGTCTTGGGTGGGGGGGGGGGTAGTGGAACCGTCAGGCGCGAACTGGCAATGGGTAAAAAAGTCTGTTATTCGTCAGGACTAATTGACCACGGCACGATATGATGTAACGTTAAAGTTGACCACAGGCCGAGTTGACTAAAGGACGACTCCAAATCCTATTTACAGTAGAACTTGTAGAACTACCAAACTTAACTGCTTAACTCTTTATCATACAAAACACCAAAACAGGTTTCTGTATCGCATCGCTTTACTTTAAGTGGTGATTCATAATCTCCTACCTTTTCAAATATTTAAAGAGCTACGAGGGATCACAGAATGCTGTTAAACTTAGTTGCACCACGTTTTGACGTTTCTTTTGTTGTTGTTGTTGTTTCAGGAGAGTTAGTTCCCTTTTCTTAAATTTGATGTCGATACAATCAGCTAGAGACTTAATAACTGTGTGATACAATTAATTATTGTAAAAGCTAAACCGTTTAGATTTCTTAGTAAAAAACAACAAACAAACTTTCCTTGGTTTTTATAATAGATATGCTTAGAAATAATTTAATTACGTACCAAATTGGGTACGAAATCCAATATCTATTTTTAGATTTGTGAAATTCCAAAAGTAAAATGCTTTCCCAGTCATACGTAGAAGATGCAAATGCACATGTACTGTCAGAGGTGCACACTGACTGCCAGTTTCAAGTTTTACCAAACTCTGATAATGCAGGTAAGTTGCTTTTTAGTTAAATAGCATCTGCAAGAAAATAATGTAATAAATTACATCATAATGATAGATCTATTAAATTAATTTAAAAAGCATCATCAAGTGACTTATTATCTGTAAATTAATATAGAGTGGTTGGACCTGGGATCATATACGTATGTCCCAGGTTGGACCAATGCTCGGCGCATACCAATGCTGGGCGTAAAAAATATTTTTTTAGAATATCTGAAAATGTCTCGAATTATCTCCAATTTAGGTCACTGGTGCTTTTATTTACATCTTTCACCATTTTATCGTGGTTCACTGCTGGTAAAGTCACGTGATAATGCTAATAGCAGACGAACAACCGTATGTAATCCGCAACATATAAATTATTAAAATCTTTTAACACTAGAGTTCTGGGGCTGTAAAGTTTAAACTAAACGTTAGGTACTTGTATTAATGTATGAACCTAATTTGGTTGTTACAATTTATTCAATGTTTTCTTCATAAGATAAAAAAGAGATTTTATTCTTAAAACATTATCCTGCATCATGCAGTACTGTACGCCGAGCTATGGTACAATTTCACGCAAACTACTCTTGTTTATCCGGACTATCTATAGCTCCAGCCATGCACATCATTATGTGATTAGTGAATTTTACACAATGGCTATTTAAAACAATATCATCGGTCTTGAAAATAGACATATAACATTGAGGTTTGTTGACATTGATTTGAATTGTCAAATCAAATATAGTATTTTTACGCCGAGCGTTGGTCCACCCACTCTAACTGCATTTCTGTGCATGAATTTGGTCAGGTCACAAATGCCAAGTTTAATCAACTTTGCGAACATTGACAGAGCCATTAAATTAGTGCCTGGTGTTACATGTATTAATTGTAGTTTCATGCAAAGTAATTTCAGATAGTCTCCGCGGTAGCAAGCGTATTTTTACGACAGAATTTAATATAGCAAGCTTATATTTACTAGTAGCCACATGTATTGTCACTTAAGTGTACCGACAGGTTAACTTCTATTTAGATTTAATAGGAGTTTACTGTTACCCCATTACTGCACTAATTAAGGTGAGAATACATTTACACCTGATTATTTTTATGGTTTTGCATCCATATCTCTGAACCTTAACATACATTATATATTATTAATTTATCTTTCAGTGACAAGATTTAAGATAAATCTTCACAATTTAAAAGCCAAGTCAGAACGGCATTACTGCAACAGGAAGGCTGTGAAATTAAAAACAAATGAAAATTTGAACACTGAATTAAACGATAAAGGCACAGAATCTGACACTAGATTTGGACATGAAGAAGAAAAGGATGCATATCATAGAGAGTATAGAAGAACTGAGGATCAAAAAGAGAAGTTTGATGAAGATGGGGACTTGATATTAGATAGACACCCCTGTCAGAGTTTAAAACTCGATGACGATAGAGATTTGATATTAGACAGACACTCGTGTCAAAGTTTAAAACTAGATGAAGATGGGGATTTGATATTAGAAAGGCAGTCACATAAATGTTTTAAACTTGATAAGCACAGACAATGCCCTTTAAACAAGGAGATATGCACACAGGAAGATGAATATAAAGACTTAGACTGCATTGAAATTAAAGATAATAGTGAAGAGACTCCAGTAAAGAAGAAAATAAAGTTAGAAATGCAAAGTAATACTGGTAATATGAACTCTATTTTAAATGCTGAACTTAACATCAAGGATGATTTAGATTGTGATTTAGAAAATACTCCTAGTGACAAATTAATTAAAACAATGCAAAGTTCATTACAGGCGTGTCAACATTGTAATGCAAATTATGAAAGTCAAAAGAGACCTTTTGAATTTGACACATCAGAAAAAAATGTATTTGTAAACTCAGAAAGACTTGTCAGTGATAGAATTAAGATGTGCAAGAACTGTGTCAAAGAGCAACATTCAGGTGAAGATGTGCAGAAAGAAGTCAAGACAGGAATTAGTGATAATGCAGAAAGTTTCAGAAAAGCTAGTGAGGTCTCGGACACAGTCAAAGACAATGATTATGATTCATCTATTTATTATATAAATATAAGTAGGTATAACTTAACAGTTAAAGGGACTCCACTGAGGTTTTTTGAAATGTTTGGTCTGAAAATATTTTTTTCCAGATAAATGTACCATTTGATGTAACTTTAGACCACAGACTAATCTTTGTGCAAAATTTCAGATAATACGCACACTTCGTTTTTTCAGAATATTTATTCAAATTGTAAAAAAATGACCGAAAATGGAAAGCTTTTAAACGCTTTTCACTCAAATCGTGCTAAAAAAAGCATAAACATACGATTTTCAATTTATTTCAAAGTATATTTCTTAACTGTCTTTGCATATATTTATACCCCCAAAAACGAAGTTTGGGTGGGTATATAGGAGTCACCCGGTGGTCGGTCGGTCGGTCCAGACGTCCGTTGCATTTTCCTTGTCTAATTGTTGGAATTCAATATAACTTCATATAATGGTCAAACACATTGAGTAGAAGTGCAGTGCACAAGAACCATAACTCCATCATGACTCATTAAAGAGTTATTGCCCATTGTTACTTTTCCTTGTCCGTGGCATAACTTGAAAACTACTGGTTGGAATTCAAAACAACTTCATACAATGGTCAAGCACAATAAGAGGAAGTGTAGCACATAAGAACCATAACTCTGTCTAAAGTAATTACAGAGTTATTACCCTTTGTTACTTTTCCATTGCTTTTTTCTTGTCCAGAGCATAACTTGAAAAGTACTACATGTATTTGGAATTCAATACAATTTCATACAATGGTCAAGTATATTGAGAGGAAGCGCAGTGCACAGAAACTATAACTCTTTCTTGACTCATTTAAGAGTTTTTGCCCTTGGTTACTTTTAAATGTCCAGTGCATAACTTGAAAATTAATGTTTGGAATTCAATGAAACTTCATACAATGGTCAAGGGCAGTGAGATGAAGTGTTTTTGTTACTTTTTTGTCCAGTGCATAACTTGAAAACTAGTAGTTGGAATTCAACACAACTTCATACAATGGTCAAGCGAAATGAGAGGAAGTGCAGTGTACAATAACCATAACTCCATCTTCAGTATTTGTAGAGTTATTACCTTTTGTTCCTTTTCCTTGTCCGGTGCATAACTTAAAACTAATGTTTAGAATTCAATGCAACTTCATTCAATGGTCAAGCGCAATGAGAGGAAGTGCAGTGCTCAAGAAGCGTAACTCTTTCTGGATTTATTACAAAGTAATTCAATAAAACTTCATCAATGGTCAACCATATTGTAAGGAAATGCAACATACAAAAACCACAACAATCTTTAATTGCCCACAACCATAACTCTTTTTCAATTCTTTAACAAGGTATTCTGTAACTTCCTCATTTCTGAAGCAGTCTTGCGGGGTATTAATCACATTTAGTGATAGTTTTAGTTCTGTTTGTTTTCTAGTGCCCCAGCTCATTTATGTAAGAAATTCAAATGTTATGTATTTAGGCTTTTAAACCTCAGTGGAGTCCTTTTAATACATGGATACACTGTATAGTAAATATAGTAAATATATTAATTTATTGATTATGATTAATTACAAAAATATGTTATTACAATGCAAATATAGTTACTTTATTTCAGTTCAAAACTCACACATGTTAACTTTGTATTTATTTGTAATGTCAGATATTAAATGTTCAGGTCCTGCTGACTTCAAAACTATTTATGTACAAGGTAATAAAATCTCAATAACCTTGTAGAATTGTAAGCTTCATGTATAAAAGAAATTGAGCTTTGTTACTGTAATCTTTTTACTGCTGAGGCAGGAATAATGGTTTGTCTATGCCAATATTAAGTATAACTGTACAAATGTATACTGCTGACAAAAGTTCATGTATGTTTATATTCAAATCCATGATGCCCACACAAGCATTATTTCCAAGATAAAAACTGGAGAAGTACATACTGTATACTTAGATATTTAAGGGTATAGCCTATAAAAAAAATTAAGACATTCTGAATGTCTTAATTTTTTTATGATTCTATTACCAGAAGATACTAGAAATCATAATTTTGAATTTATTGCAGAGCACAGTTTGTCTACAGAATTAAATGATGTAGGTGAACAGGTATGTTACTTTAAGCCACATGTATTTAATTTCCAACATTATAAATTTTTATTTAGTATAACAACATAATAGAAATTGCTTCATATTTATAAGCATTGATAGAATCTCTAACAAGTTGACATCTTAAGACTGTTATAACTTTAAAAAGTTGTTCTGAAAAGATCTTACTAACACGTGAAATGAATTTAAGTTGGCTGAGTTTATTTCATTTATTTTAGGACTATTTAGTGGCTGAGTTTATTATGTTGTGTACATTTATTTTAGGACTATCTTAACTTGAAAGTCATTTTATAATATTTTGTTCTTTCTCTAGACAGTTTTGAGAAACTTAGCCTTTCTTTGGCAAATAAAAGCTTGATGTACTTCATCTTTGTTTTTAGGTATGGCATGGTTCTCTGTTACTAAGTGACTATATTATATGTAACCATGGTAACTTTGATGACAAGGTCATAGTAGATTTGGGAGCAGGTGTAGGACTGTCCAGTATTGTTGCTGCCATGTATGCAAAGATGATGTACTGTACTGGTAATATTGTGTTGTTGTTGTTGATGGTGTTTTTTTTACAACTTTGGAATCTTTGTTCAGCAGAGATTTTAATTAATGAAATTTGGCAGTACATGTTAAAGTATTTGTTGTTGTTTAATTTCATTATTTGGAATTAAGTGTAAACCACCATAGGTGTTAAATATAGTAAAATGAAACATATTAAGCCTATTATATAAGAATTGTGTGACAAATGTTGATTTTCTTAATTTCAAAAGAATGTCTAAAGTACAAAAGTGATATTATATGAGGTGCTCTAAGTTAAATCAAAAGAAATTAGTTTTTTTATATTCCTTCTTGAATGTTATGTAAGTGAAAATAGAACTATAATACAAACTTATATTTCTTAGATACTGGGGAGAAGGTTTTATCACTTGCAGAGAGCAATATTTTAACAGCCAGGACTTGCCCAACTCTTCCTAGACAACTGTGTGATGTACATGTTAAAGAATTGGACTGGTTTAAAGGAATGGAAGGTTTGTAAAATAAGATTACTCTAAACCTAATATAACTGAGTTCTCTATACAATGAATATCTATAGCAAATCATTTAAGTCTCATGTACATGTATGAAGAAAATCTTCTTTGAGATGCATGAAGTTTACCAATAGGAACAGGGTTTGATTCTTATTTTGAGAATTACAATTACTGAATATGTTATTCTGGGTTATTCTGGGTTATTTCACCTTAAGTAAATTATTGTATATTTACCTTGAGTATACTTAAGAACTTCAGTCTTGATGACATAGGGGTGAAGTTTCCTGATGTCTTTTTTTTTGGTTTGTAACAAATAATTCCCCTGCTAGCCATTATAATTTAAAACTTGACCTGCTTGATTTGTTTCATGCATTTGCCTTGCTTCAGATTGGATCAGTCCATTTCAATATCAAAATACAAATATTGAGCTACATGTACCACCAGTAGAGAGCTTAGACAGACTGTATGGATGTGAAGGCCCACATGGCTTTATACCGGGTGCAAATGCTTTAAACAGTCAGTTTCAGCAGGTTAAGACACAAACTGAATTTATCTTTCATGATTTATTGTTAATTCTATCCATATTTACTGGACTGAGTTCAAAATTCAGTTGAATACTAGTACACTCAACAGGCATTTCATAGAACTTACACCATTTGAGTTCTAATCAAGAAAAATGTCATGTTCAAACCAGTAATATTTCTGTAACATTTTAACACTTAATTTAATGATTTTTTTTAAAAAGGACATGCTCCGCATTTTTGGGTCTGTCCAGTATAAATTTTTGGGATATTAAGATGAAAATTTAAAGTTAGTTGGCGTACAGTGTAAAGCCTGTCAGTCTGCTCAGGCTAGCCTGACCCTAAAATAGTGGCAAAGGCTTATCACTATGGTTTCAGCAGTGTAAGAGTATAAAGTTTGTTCCAAAGAATTTTGAGATAAGCTCCATGTTATATCTCTAATCAGCATGCAGTGTTTGCATTAAAACTTATGGTGACAGATGCAAGGTCATGTAATGCTGGCCATCCATCATTTTACATACATGATATGCATGTTTTAATGTATATAGCTACAATTTTGATTGGAATATACATATTTTACCTTTCTTGTATGTATAAATAATTTCAGAGGACAGCTCTTTGTTCAGTCTTACAAAAGATGATATAGATAGAATCAACAATAGTGATATTCTGATAGCTGCTGATGGTAATTATTTTACATTACACCCATTTTAAACTGTGAAGAGTGCTTAAAGAAAATATAATAATAAAGCATTGTTTTGTTATTTTGATAAGTTTGTTGAAACTAAGTTTAATTACCTCATATGCTGTTGAAATCAGCTGTCATTTCACTAGTAGTTTTAACCATATATGGTTTTACTTGATAATTATTTCATGATTAATATTTTTGTGACTTTTGTCTAAACCCACAAAAAACCATGATGAGAAAAGGAGTGAGCTACATGTTATTGTAGTCATACTTTTGAAACTGTTGAGACTTGCAAAAGATATAATTTTTTGCATGATAATTTCAAAATTATATGGTAATGAAGAATCTGTCTCGAACATTTTGCTTACAAATGTATATAAATTCAACAATTCAACTAATTCAATTCCTTCAGCATTCCTCTGTGTAAATAGTTATAGTGTTATTTTTGTTAAAAATGCATTATTTTTGGGTCTGTTTGTGATGTTATTGTGTTTCAAGTTTATTGTTATGTTACACTTACATAATATATTTTCTTTTACAATGTATCTTTTACAGTGATTTATGACTTTGACATCACTGACGCATTCTTCAATATAGTAAAACAGATCATGAGTCACCCCCCTTGTAAGACTCTGTACATTGGCTTGGAGAAGAGGTAACATACATGTACATTTGTTTTCCTTTTTCAAAATATAATCATTAAACTATTATTTTGTACACATCAGCTTTTTGTACCCATAACTTGCTGACTTTATATAATGGATTTGCCCAGGTTTGAATTTAAACAGTCCGGTCAAAGTTTCAGGGATTTTAAAATATAAAAAAACATGTCAGCAGTATAGAGCCTGGTACGATTGCACAGATGGTAGCCTGTAGGCTGGCCTGACTCTCTACTGATGGCAAAGTATGATCATTTTGGCTCCACAGGGTATGGGTTAAATGTACTTAGCTCAAGCTAAATTATTGATGACAGCTCTGTTGATCAAATGAAAACTTATTATGCATAAAAGTCAAAAGACATGCAACTTAAAATAGTAATTATTTTTGATGAATATGGAATTTAAATGGTCAAGAAATGATTGTAATGTTTTATTTTATTTCTGAGCTCAGTTTAAGGATTTGGACTACAGTTATTAGATTTGCAATATTTGCTACATCTTGTGCTCTCTTTCACTGATTCAACAGTCTTCAATTATCAATAGGTTGTATATCTTTTGGCCATTTGTTTTTAATTAAGTTGCTAGCTAGCAAAGGTTTTGAACTTTTGAGCATATTCCAAAAGAGGATGAGCATGTCTTCAGCATGTCCTGCTAAGACCATTTATGGACCTAAATAGGTCAAATTATTGTATTTTTGCTTGTAATTTGCTATAAATGGCTATAACTTTATTATTGGTAAATTAATGGGTTGTCTTCATACTTGTACAAAACAACACTTGGGACAACACAGAAAAGGAGTTCTGACCTTGACCTTGAAGTGACCTTGACCTTTAAGGTCAAATTATTTACCATAAGAGCTATATTGCTTTTACATTTTTCAATATAATGGGGCTGATACTAAATCCATTTTCAGTCCTATTATAAACAGTATTTCAGGTTACTTAAAGAATTCAGTGAAGTGATTGTATCTTGTATTGTTGTGTGTACTATTTGACAGTGTTAGACTTTTATATGTATCTTTTTGTTTCCTAGGATTGTCTTTACATGTGAGGACCTCACTTTCACAAGTCCAGGTTACAATTATTTCCGTCTTCACCTCGACGATCTTTGTTCAGGGGATGATGATGACACAGAGGCTTTGTTTGAAGTAGAGCAAATCGACTCTAGCTTCCCACAGTTTTTCCAGTATAACAGAATTAGACAATTGGTAAATTTAAAACTATTGCCGATACCTTTTTCTTTGATTGACTGATTTTCTTTTCTATAAACCTATTGTATAAACTTGTGTGAACTTTTTAAAAATATAGTGACTTTCTTTCACAGCTTGTAAAACACTAAGTGATTGTAAGAAAGGAAATATTTATTTCTTTATCTATTTTAGTGAAAAATCAAAGTAAAATGGTTATGAACAGAAAATAAGAAAATAGGAAATAAAACAGTTTTTGGCACAAAATACTATACCATGCCAATAAATCAAAACAGTCAAATATTATTTACAGATTTGTTCATATGTACGTACATGCTCATATTAATAACAAATCTGTGATATTAATAATAAAGTCAATACTTGTAAGTCAGGTGAAAACATGGAATAGTTACATGACATAATTATAATTATATTCTAAATAAAAAAAAAATAGATAACATTTGAGCCGTGTCACAACAAAACCAACATAATGGGTTTGCAACCAGCATGGATCCAGAACAGCCTGCGCATCCGCGCAGTCTGATCAGGATCCATGCTGTTCGCTTACAAACCCTATAGCTAGTAGAGAAACTGATAGCGAACAGCATGGATCCTGATCAGACTGCACGAATGTGCAGGCTGGTCTGGATCCATGCTGGTCGCAAACCCATTATGTTGGTTTTGTCGTGATGCGGCTCATTTATTTAGCATATAAAATAAATTCTGTGTATCATATGTTTCATACATATCTATGTGTTAATTTGTTGTTTTATTTTATTTTCAAACCTCAGGAGTTATGGAAGATAACAGCTACATTCAAGTCATAGATCAAAGATGGAACATGGCAATAGAAAAGAATATAGAGACATTAATATAGGATAAAATAAGACTAAAATGGGAGCATTTCACAATCCAGAGGACACTTATGCTTTTTATGGATACTCATACTTTTATGGATAAAAATTCATGAAGAGAAATTCATCAAGACTTTTTAAAAAATTATGTATGATAGTAAATGATTACATAAATAGTTCTGAATATAAAAGTTTTGTTTGATTTGAAATTCGATTCAAAATACAGATAGTTGACCTGATTCAAATGGAGACAATTTTAAGTGTTTAGTAGAGATAAATTCACATTGTATAAAAGGAATCACTGGACCATATCTTACAAGTACATGTGTATACTGTACTATATCTTGTAAGCATATACATGTACTATAACGATCTTACACCGGCTGCAGGTAAAGACCTGAAGATCTAGCTTGAGGGTAACTGTTTATGGCCTACACACTTTAAAAATTGTTTAAAGAATTCTATTCCGTGCTAAATTCTGCTTGCCATGGCAACGGAAAGAAAACAAAAACTTAAAAAATCTTCTTTAAAAAAAACTCCAAAGAGCTAGAGCTTAGATATTTAGCATGAAACATCTTGTAGTGAGTGTCTACCAAGTTTATTCAATTAAAAGCCCCGCGTTGCCGAGGGGGTCATTGATTTTTCTTATATGTTTATAGTAAAAACAAAAAAATCTTCCAAATAAGCCAAAGAGCTAGAGCTTAGTTATTTAGCATGGAACATCTTTAGTGGGTGTCTACCAAGTTTGTTTAAATGAAAGCACTGGGGTCAAAACTTGCCCCATCCCTGGGGGGGGGGGGATCATTGATTTTCCTAATATGTATACATACATGTATAGAAAAAACAAAAAATCTTCAAGTAAAAATCCAAAGAGCTACAGCTTAGTTATTTAGCATGAAACATTTTCTAATGGGTGTCAACTAAGTTTGCTCAAATTAAAGCCCTGGTGTCAAAATTTGCCCCGCCCGCCCCAGGGGGTCATTGATTTTCCTTGATATATATAGAAAAACAAAAAAAATCTACTAAAAAAGCCAAAGTGCTACATCTTAGATATTTAGCATGAAACATCTTGTAGTGGGTGTCTACCATGTCATTTCAAATAAAATCCCTTGGGTCAAAATAGGCCTTGCCCCAGGGGGTCATTGAATTTTCTTATATGTATATAGTAAAACAAAAACAAAAATCTTCTAAAAAAAGCCAAAGTGCTAGAGCTTAGATATTTAGCATGAAACATGTTCTAGTTGGTGTCTACCAAGTTTCAATTGATAGTTCTTTTCTGTCACTGTTGATTTATAATCGGCAAATTCTACTATTGGCTATTGTACTTCCTGGTTATCTGGAGAAGTTGATATTCATTCTCTATTATCACCATTTTAAATTGAGATGATGCTCCTTTTTCCACTGACAAGTTGAGCTGAATAAGTACAAAATTTCAAAAGATTGATTATAATGGTGATGTATATGTTTAGGATAAAATATACAGCAAATACTACCAAAACTATAAAAAGACTGCCCTTCTCATTCAAAAATTTCTGTAGGTCACAAGGATTATTGATTATCAAAAACAATTATGATAAAATGTATGGTTATTTTGCCTTTTACCTGTTCACTCATCATTTACACTTGGATGGTCATGCTGTTGCTTTAATATAAATAAAATACTCTCTCAATATACTAAAAAATACACGTACATGTGTTTTCTTATTTTTTTAGCTCACCTGAGCATTTTGTGGTCAGAGAAGAGCTTTTGTTGCTGCAATTTATACATCCTTCATTATTTGTCATCTGTCACCAATTTAATTTCCTAGATCACAAAATGGATTTTGACCAAACTTCACAGGAATGATACTAACTGGTAGGTGGTCCTGTTCAAAAATTATATAAATGGTTCCAGTCTGATGCACAAGTTGGTCACGAGCTAAAAATAGACTTTAAAAATAAAATCTTTAAAAAAGACCTTTTTAGAAACTACAATGCCAATAGTTAAGATATTTATGTAGCATCACTGTGCGATCCTCTAAAAAAAGTTATATAAATGGTAAAACCATGTCCCTTAGGTCAAAATCGACCTTGCCTGGGGGGCAGGCCTTTTCCTAGCCATTTTGGGAAAAGTACCTAGCAGAGTTTTATAATTTTTTTGTTGTAAAATTGCTTTATTGTGCCCCCACTATAGTGGGGGGGGGGGCATTTAGATTAACCCTTGTCTGTCCGTCCATCTGTTCGTCTGTCCGTTCTCTTTTTGTGTCGCATGTAGCTCAAAAAGTAATTGACCTAGAGTCATGAAACCTTACAGTAATGTTGATCAGCATGTGAAGTTGTGCACCTGGGTATTTTCTTGGGATAAATTTAGTATTTTTAGACTTATTGCCCTTGACTTAGTAAAAATTTGCAATTTTCAACTTGTGTGACATGTAACTCAAAAAATATTTGACCTAGAGTCATGAAACCTCACTGGAATGTTGATCAGCATGTGTAAGTGTGCATCTGGGTATTTTTGTGTGGATATATTTAATATTTAATGCCCTTGAATTAGTAAAAATTTCTAATTTTCAACTTGTGTCGCACTTTACTAAAAAATGATTTGACCTAGTCGTGAAACCTTACAGGAATGTTGCTCAGTATGTGTAGTTGTGCACCTGGGTATTTTCTTGTGGATATTTTTAGTGTTTTTAGAGTAATTGCCCTTGACTTGGTAAAAATTTACAATATTCAACTTGTGTTGCACATAGCTCAAAAGGTATTTGACCTGTAGGCTTGAAAGTTTACAAGAATGTTGGTCAACATGTGTACTTATGCACCTTGGGGTTTTCTTGTGGATTTATTCAGTATTTGTAGTATTTGCCCTTTACTTAATAAAAGATTTTTAGTTTTCAACTTGGGCACATGTAGCCAAAAAAAAATATTTGACCCAGAGGCATAAGATTGACAAATCGGTGGAGTGTGGGGGCACCCGTGTCCTATGGACACATTTCTAGTTTGGTAAAATATTTGGTACCTTTAATGTCTCCTTATAGGCCCTTTTTACATAGTATTTAGAATTGTGTGATATTGCTTATTCTAACCAGCCCAAATTTCAACCAAAGCATAATCACTACAATAAAATTTGACAATAAACTTTGAGGAAACAATTCTCTCTGTTATGAAACCATAATGAACTTCAGCAAATTTGTCAGCATTGACATCAGAAATTTCGGTGCAGTTGTAAATATTTTGTAAAAGATTGGGAAAAAGGAAATTTAGGAATGGGTCTAATTATCTGACCTGTGGTGACACTTAGAAAATGCATGCTAAATGTCACTTAGTTTATATAGTTACATAGTAAAACTCATTTAATTAAGTATTCTTTTGTGAAATAACAATGCCAGGAGCTTAGATATTTGTCATGAAGCATATTATATCAGCTATCCAGCTAGCTTACGGAACTTTGGTGGTTCTACTCAGGTGCCCATTCGTGCTTGAAATAATGCACGGAAGGGCACCTGAGGTCTTCCTCCACCAGTAAAGCTGGAACGTCGCGATATGACCTATACTGTGTCGATGTGACGTAAAACCCAAACAAACAAAACATTATATCAGACATCAACAATTATTTTAGAAATAATGCAGCTTGGGTAAAAAATGACAAACTCAATGTGACATCATTAATGACTTAATCATTGGAAAAAAACTGTGACCAAGAAAATATGTATCTGACAGGTTGCATTCCTGAGCCATCATGACCCTCTTGTTACTGTAAACCATTTTGTAATTCTTACTTTTTTTATTTTGTTTGTAAGAAAAAATGTTGGGGACAAGCTTATTATGCATAATATAAAGAACCATGCTGTATATAAGAGTTGTTTCTTTCCTTTAAAGGCCCACTATGCCTCAGAAATGCTTTCAATTTATTTCACAAAAACTTTCAACCTTTTGTATCTTAATTGTTACAGTTTCCAAAAATTACTTATTTGCCATATACATAAATCTTTGCATCTTTTGCGTTGATGGCAATGGGTAAAATTACAGTAACAGTGAATTAGTTTTATGTGTGGGAATCAAAATACTACTTTATTTACATTTTAATTACCACCTTTACAACACATTACTGCATATTCAGCACTAACTTTCTTTAGTTTCTGCCAGATTAATCTCAATTCTTTTACAGGACATTAACACCTTCTTCTAATCATTTTTACTGTCTTAATTGTTACACAGTCTTAAATTGATACTTACAGTCTGTGGTTGTTAAAGGGACTCCACTGAGGTTATTTTGACATGTTGGGACTGAAAATAATTTTTCCAGATAAATGAATCATTTGATGTAGGTTTAGATCCCTAATCTTTGTGCAAAGTTTCAGATCATTCTTGCATTTCGATTTTCCAGAATAATTATTCAAATTGTAAAAAAATAAATAAAATGAAAAGCGTTTAAATGCGTTTTACTGAATTCGGGCTACCTTTGCATATATTTCTGTCTAAAGTGCCCCTGCTCATTTTTGTAAGAAATTCAAATGTTATGTTTTTAGGCTTTTAAACCTCAGTGGAGTCCCTTTAATAAAAAATATATATTTTTGGTCCCAAACCAGACTGTACTTTTAAAAATTATTTTTTGTTCAAGATTAATCTCAATTATTTTAAATCAATATGTTATCGGACAGTATACCTTCTTAAAATAAACTTTTACCAAGCAGAAAATTAAAAAAAACTTGGGAAGAAGGGGAATAATTGATATTCATCAAATCAAGGGACGTTATTTGTTGACACATGTCACGTGATTGAAAGTTAGCTTGATGTTGTCAATAGTTACGCTAGCGTTCGAAGATTTAATAAACTTACGCTTGAAATATAGACCTATACAACTTTAAATTTTGAACTTGTTTTGTGTTGAGATCTTTTCATTTTATAAAAATATCGGTTAACATTCAATAATTTAACAGTTATACCCTTATAAACGTAAATATATTTGTAAAATCGCCACTTTCAAAAGTTGTGATTGAACCGGAAGTTGTGGCGGAGTGATTTCATTCAGCACACTAGGAGTAAACACGAAGTAAATAAAATGTAGGTTCAATAAAATGACAATTAAGGGGTGTAATTAAATCAGTTAAGTTAAAATACAGTTTCTTTGGGCTATCTAAATTCGGGCAAACATGCCGACTGCAGTGTCACTGTCGCAAATGGTGGATTTGTCCCTGGGGACACCAGAGATAGGGTCTGTGAATTTCAATGTGATGCATACACTCCTTCATGCTATCATAAGGAAATTAAGTATTGCTGATCACAGAGCAGAGATAAATGAACATGACAGGGATTTTTTGGCAACATCAAAAATAAGAGCTAGATCCACACTCAGTGATGCTGACAGTGGGCGGGGTGAAGATTCTGAGGATGCCACAAGTGAGAAATCTGGAGCTCCCCCATTTCGACCATCCCCATACCATAGGATGGAATTAAAGGTTGAAAAACTTGCACAGCAGTTGGAAAGTTTAAATCAGCTTCCATCGAATAGTGAATTATTTGATCGTACCACAAAATCAAAAAGTGAAAGTTCTTCAGATAGGCCTGTAGCTGACATGTGGCAATATATGCAACTTAAAAAAAGGGTTGATGCTAATGAAGAAGGTGTAGGAAAGGTATATTTTCAGTCTTTAATATTTTAGATATTTTAATAAGATGTGAAAGTGTTTGTGTAAATCATTTAGACCAGTCAAAAGAACATGAGTCCTTATATGATATCAATTTCTTTGCATAACAATATGTAGAAAGTTATTATTTATTGCCAGCAATACTTGTTTACAGTATCACAGACATTCAAGAGAGGAAAGATCATACAGGAAGTCAAAGGCCGGGTCTGCCCGACTTGTCGAGCTATAGACTACACAAACATATATACTTAAAAAGAAATCAAATAAATATATAGATTTCTGTACCTTTCTGTGAAATTTTCAGTGTCATTTCTTTAATATTGGGCTCCATCATTTTTAATGTAACTCATGGATAATCTGCAGGGTATTCAATTACAGGAACAATTGCAACTTTTCGCTTAAGAGTAATCGTTGAGGTATTCTGAGTGAAAATGGAACTGGTGCACAAATTACCCAATGACACCTTTAAAATGAAATATGTCAATTAAAAATTGACTCATTGTTTTTGTCTGATTTCCCTATCATCGCATTTGCCTTCTTCATATTATTTATTATTATTCAGTGCAATGAGTAAATTTTCATTCAGTTACAGCAATGAGGTAATTTAAGAAAATCTTCAGAATTTGCGAGTAAAAACAACTTTTATTTTGAAGGAAATTATTTTATGATGTCAGTAAATAGAAAATAAATAGCTTTGATCTAATGACATTTCAAGATGGTAATAATTTTACTCCTTTTTTTTTTTTTTTCATAAATTAATATACAATTTATCTGATCCAATTAATACAATATTATTTGCCAGTATTAATATATATGATCAAAAACTTGTAATATACTTGTAAGCATGTCATGGTTTGGACTTTTCTTTTTTTTTTAGCTTTTCTTTTCACCTTTTACTAACAATCCGACGTGCACTAAATTCCTGCCTTTAACACTCGTAAGAGGGGTTGGCAGTATCCAGAGATAGATAAATTAAATTATTTATTTAAAAAAATTTTTTATCACAAGAGCATGTTTCAGTATTATAGGTATCACAGTTCTCAAATTTTGTTTCCCCTATAAGTAGCTTAATAACCTTTAATTATGTTATAAGTAGGGTGAAAAGTTTGCATAAAATGTTTGATCTAATGTAAAAAAAGTTTTTTGAAAGAAAAAATCTGAGCACATTTCTCAAGATATTATGACGATGTTTATATTCCAAAAAAAAGGACATTGATATTGCCAATTTAAATTGCCCCACACTGCATGCCCTGTGTTAGAGAGTTTGGGTTAGAATTTACTGGCACTGAGAGATAATTTTCATTCTTTAGAATAAAAGTTCCTGACATTTCTGTGATTTCTTTGACATATAATAAATACTAAAATACCTTTTCACCAGAGTGGTCCAAGAGTCAACTAATGGATTGAAAGTTATCAACAATTCAACAAGGGGGTGTTTTATTTAGATGTTTTTCAATGTAAATTAACACTTGAAAAACAAGAAGATTAAAATTGTTAGATTGAAGGAAAGTCAATTTAATTGTTTATCCTGTGTATAAATCAAATGAAAGTGTTGAAGTAGGTGAAAATGAAATGTCATTGAAATGTTTAAAAGATGGTCCTATCTTGTTTGAATTTAAAAGAACTTTTGAAAAGCTACGTGGGGTAGCTATGGTCCATGACGATTTGTAAACTCTCTGATCGGATTATATACAGAGACAAGCTTTCCTGATAACAGAAATCTCTTAAAACAAAACTGACTGACACTATTTTTTTCAGTCTCTGTGTATTTTGAACGTATTAACATAATGCAAGTATTTATTACAATTTCAAATAAGTAATAAAATTAAATATCCTTGAATTTGAATTTTCAATATTGATCCAACTAATGATTAATCAAGTAGAAGTGAAGCTGGTTTCAGGCTTCAGTTATTTATTTTGAATCATTTGAAATCATTGTCAACTGTCTCTTACATAAACTCACTACAGTAGTGCGGGGTAAATAGGAAAATTGAAGTCACAATTAAGCTTGATTTTATCTCACTTTATATTGATCAAATGAAATGAATCAGATGGAATGTTTTATGTCATGCTGTCAATTGATGAAAATGAATTGAGGTAAAAAAAAGCAAGAATAACATTTTCTACAAGGCCTTTTTTATCATTCTCATCTAGCTATAAAATCTGCAGAAAGTTGGGTTCCAAGCAACTTTTATGGCACCGTCTTTGTTAGGAATACAATTGTTGTTAGAAAACCTTTGAGGCTATTACACTTTGAATCACAAAGTGGATAGGTGATTATGATTTTTTTTTATTCCCCAACAGAAAATAACATAACAACAACAAACCCTACATTACATGTAATGTATATTAAAGAAATGATACGTTTTTGATCTTTTCAATACACAGGTTGTGCAGATTATTGTTTTCAAGCAGTAGAAGCGGTAGAGAAACATGCCTGTATAGTAAGCAATGATGCTGTGTTATAGAAAATTTTTATTAATCAGTTGTCAAGGAGAAATGCCATGGCTCTTTGATTTCAAATCACCCTCAGTGACTGAATAATGAGAAAATTTCATTTACATTCAAGATACACCATTATTTCCTTGGTGAAATCCACATAAATATTTAATGGGCATCATGGGAGTCTTCATTATATTGGAATGATTCAGGACATTCTTCTCTTGAGTATAAATAGCTGATGCTGTGAAATTCTAATTAAGTTTGCACCTAAGAGAGAATCCTAGCAAAGTCTTTTTGAGTCAGTTTAATGTATCACATTTTTCACATATTCATTGAAACTTATTTTTTAGTAAAATATAACAAAATATAATTTTAGAATGTTTTCTCTCCCCCCCCCCCCCCCCCCCACACACAGCTCTGATTCTGTCCCCTCAAACATACCACACCTCTAACCTGATATTTATCCTTTTCTGCTGATACCATTAGGACAAATTGATATGATCTACGTTTATATCGATTTGGGGACAAAGGTGACCTCGTCCTGATTGAATTTTTTTAAACTGTTTATCTTTCAAGTAAATGCCTAATTATTGATCAATGAGTATAATATATCAATTAAAGTACTTGTTGTCCATTCTTTTAATTTAAACCATCTATTATTAATAATTTATCAACAGCTTCCTCGTCTTACTGAAAGTGAATTGGCCTTTGCCACCAGAGCAAGGACCAGCCTGCACTTTTGACAGACTAACTAGATATGCCAAAAATGGACTATTCTAAAAATGGAAGCTGGTTATTAGTCCATTTTAGAAATTAGTTATATCTAATATAATGTAATCTGCCAACAATATTTTGTGTTAAGCCTGATTATTATATATAAAAGATAAGCTGATGTTTATAACACAAAAAGCTCTATTTAAGGTATGGTGAATGTCACAAATTTATATTATTATATATATGATATAATGTCATAAGGTGATAACAAATAGACAATAGGGAATAGATATTTAATATTTAAATATTTTTAAGAACAAATATGCTTGCTTTTACATGAAGCTGTTACCCCCCTTGATCTGAGTACATGCAAACAGTGCCATTCAGGCACAATGTTTGATCATTTGGCCAATTTATATATTTATTTGACTGTTTAATATTACTCAAATAGTTTTATATCAATATTTGTCAGATTTTATGACAGTTTAAGATGACTCAAATGATTTAGTTAATAAGACGACCTGGTTATAACTTTGCTAAACCCTTAATCCCCTATATTTGTATAATGGACTTGCTCCACTGCTGTCAACTTGGAACTATACATTATCATGTTAGGGGGTTTCAATATCTAAAAGCTAAGTAACTAACATTAATCCGCACAACCCTAGGCCCCAAACACTGTTTTTTGTTTGAGAGAAATGTTGTTAAAAAAGTGACCACTTTTTCGGCACTGTCACCCATCCAAATGCTACATCAGGGGGTTGCCAGAAGGGGGATGTGCCCCCTTCTGTTTGGGGGGTTTGAAGGGGGCGGCAGTTCTGGAACTATTTCAGTCTGTCTAGAGGGTCAAGTGCAATTGAGACATGGAAATTCTGTAAACAATTAAGTTTTTGAATTATTTATGTTCATTTTATAAAGCAAAAGTTCATGAACTACCAAGAAATTGATGAAATGGATACAGTAACTCATGACTAGTTCATTTGAAAACCTAATAAATTAAAGCCAAGCAGTATACATTGTAAAACTGTTTAGTTACGACACCTTTAAAATCAATTAAATATAAGTCTGGTTGAAATATTATACTCTTATTTTTCATTGCTTCAGTGAATAAGTGTTAAATTTATATGTCAGAAATTGTGGTGTCATATTACGATTTAGTAACAGTATTTTTTTTGTAATAAAAGTTACAAGATCCTTATAAATTAGACGGTTTTGACGGATTGGTGTGGTGCATCAACTTCTATATTAACTAAATTGGGCGTACAGTGTTTGAATTTGTATACCAAAACTTGGCCCTTATAGAAATTCTTTCCGGATCATAAATAATTAAAATTCTTTTCAAATATAAATCTTTGCATTTAGACCTTTTAGATGAAAATCAATAATCTTTATTGATAGTAGCTTGTATAAGCAAACCATTTTGCACTTAAAGGGGTGCTTAATAATTCTTTGCTATAATCGAATAAAAACAGATTGTGAAATTTTACAGCTGAACAAATGAGTTTTAAAACTGGATACTAAAGAATAAGTCCTGGTCTTTAAATCTTTATGGTACATTTAATTGTTTAATGTGAGGAAGCCATAGAGGTTATAAACAGGTTACTGGATCTACATTAGGGTGGCTGCTTGTACCTGAAATATAAAATCTCAAAAGGGCCTCAGGTTTCCTTAAAGCTTGTAGTGAAGCTTAAAGGAACTCCACTGACGTCAAAAAGCCTAAGAATATAAAATTTAATTTCTTTCAAAGATTATCTGAGGTAATTGAATAGAAAGATATGCAAAAGATAATAAATAGAGGATATTGAATGAGTGTAAGTTCAATACTGAATTTATTGCACAAGTTGAATAAAATTATATTATGCGAGCCTCTGGCGAGCATAATATTATTTTATTCAACGAGTGCAATAAATTCAGTAATGAACTTACACAAATTTAATGTTCTATTTATCACATACCCAAAATGAAGACCATTTAAAGTGAAATAAGAGTCATTTTTTATTGACGCGCCTATAGTATAACGCTAACATTTAGCGCGTCTTTACACTGTGTTTGTATAACGCTAATGACGTCACGTCAAAATATATGCACGGCTGTGCAATACCATATTTACGGAGTCGCAAAATCGGCACGGGTGTGTGATAAAGAAATATACTCAGTAATAAGTTGAAATTTGTATTTTGTGATTTTTCTAGCCAAATTTGAGTAAAATTTTGAGTCATTTTTCACATAAATAATGATTCAGATTATGCTGAATAATTGAGTGAAAGAATGATCTGAAAGTTCAAGACCTACACTGAATGGAATATTAGACTGAAAAATTATTTGCAGTCCAGTCATGTCAAAAAACCTCCAAAAAAAACCTTTTAGTAGCCATGTATAATCTTTTCATTGTTGTGAAACTTAACTCCCATACTCATTGTGGAAAGTTGCTCCCATCCTATTTTCGGAAAAAGATAAGAATTTATAAGTTTTGCAAAACACTGGCCATTATAACTCATTTATTCAAAAAGTTTTAGCAAAATTTTTTACAAAGAATTGTATTTATAAATTTGTTTTTACTAAATTTTACTGAAAAATCTCAGTTCTAACCATATAACTTTCGATGAAAAAGAAACATTTTGACTGTCCACATTCCAATTTGTACATTTGATATGACATCAGATACAAGATTCAATTAAAATGCAAATGAGCTATGAAGATTTATGTAAATGAAGCTACATCAAGCCTATTTCAAGGTGTGGTTTAGTGATTAAAATAGACTGAAGAACAGTGATTGATCAAAAACTATTTTAAGCATTGGTTAAGCTAGTTGTCAGCCTGAAAGAGACTATTTTAAGCAAATTATTATAAAATTGGTTAAGCTTGTCAGCCTCATAACTGTGAGTTTGTGAGAATGGGGAGCAGTTGCCTAGTGATTAAGGTGTCTGCCTCTCAACCCACAGATCATTGGTTTGAGCCCTACTCGAGTCACAACCATGTTTCTTCATATGACACCAGTACTGGTTGGTTTCGTAAGTGATTAATATAAGTTGCAAGAACTTGTTTTGCAATCAAGCTTAAATAAATATGTTTAAACCAACTGTGAGTCTATGGTTTAATTGGTCTAAGCAAAATTTAATACCCTATACTTCACCAGTTCAAGAACTAATTTGCTTCTTAAAAGAGCATAGCGGCATGGCAAGTTTGTATGTGTCAGAATGGTAATTTAAGGATTTTAAGCCTCATAATGTTCGGCAAGCCATTGTTTTATTGTATGTCCTACAACACAATCATACTAAAATAAATTCTGTATAAACTAAACAGCTAAAATAAGCTTATTGTATTAGAATACTGTATTACCTGAAACAAAAAAAAGACATTGTTGAGTTGATAAGAAAACTACTAAAGAAAACACTTTCTTTTGTGAAAATAAGATGAAAAACATTCATTTCTTTATCAGCATTGTGTTGTAAATTCCAATTGCACTGATCTACATTTAATAAATTAAACTTTTATTAAATTTGAAGTAACACCAAAAGAATGTTGAAATAAGAATTGTGAGAAAGTTTGTTACAGTATGATTATCACATTCTGAAATAACAATAGAATTAGGATATTCTGAAGTTCATGACAGTCTCTTAAAAATCATGTTATTTATTTATTTGAATAAGTTTAATATTTTAACCTTACAATATAAGAGGGAAAAAACTAACAGCCACTTAAACAGAGTTCCATTTGCTGTTAGCCTCAACTTTAGTCCACTTTACTATTAAATTTTGTGAAAAGGGTTAATACATTTATTACAAATAACTAAAATTGTAATACTTGTAGCAAAAAGGTTGTGTAAAATTAATGTAAACATAACGACATAACACATTTAAGTTGCCTATTACATTTTCATACAATTTTTAGCTCGACTTTTTCAAATTGCTACAGTCACCCTCGAGTCAAGTATTAAACTTGAATTATAATTTGAGCTGCGCCATGACAAAACCAACATAATGCGTTTGCGACCAGCATGGATCCAGACCAGCCTGCTGTTCGCTATCAGTTTCTCTACTTGTAATAGGGTTTGTAAGCGAACAGCATGGATCCTGATCAGACTGGGCAGATGCTCAGGCTGGTCTGGATCCATGCTGGTCGCAAACGCACTCATTGGTTTAGTCATGGCACGGCTCATTTGTTTAAAACAGTAATGTTTTCTCGGAGTATTCTTTACTGCAATAATCTTTCTTCAATGTGTTTGACTATAGAAGTAAGAAAATGTCAAACGTGGTCCCCGCCTTGCCGTGTTTTATGGAAGCCATCTGAATGTGTATTAAGAAACAAAGAGTTACTGAAACCTTAAATCTTTTAAAACCTCTGGTTTTCTTTTTAATGTATAACAATAATTTAACATCAAAGTTACTTATTTATGTTGTATGTTTTTCAGTTATTTTCACTGATTGAAGATATGATGAAAGAGATGAAAGATCTTAAAGATGCAAATAAACTTCTTCAGGACCAACTTAAAGGAGTAAGTTATTATTTGATATATCATAGCATTGTTACTCTGGTGAAAATCTTGTTGTTAGCATAATATTGTTTTATTCAACAAGTTCAATAAATTCAGTAATGAACCTACACAAATATAATATTCTATTTATCACATACCTAAATTTATAAAGTGAAAAAGAATTTTTTTTTACCGACTCACGTATAGTGTAATGCTTACATTTAGGGCATCATTACACTATGTTTGTATAACAAAGATGACATCACATCAGAATATATGCATGGCTGTGCAATACTATTTTTACGGAGTTGCAAAAGCGGCATGAGTGTGTGATAAAGGTTATATATCTTCTGTATCTATATAATTTGTTCTTGTATCAGTGAGCCTGGAAGAGCTCTGACACAACAGTACGCTTACTTACGTTTTGAGCATATTAAATATTTATATGTAAAAATGTTAGCCTGACTGGTTGATGTGTTGGCGATTATCAGAAAGTGTCTACACAACATAGGATACACATAAAGGCTAAGAAAATATGTGGTAAAATATTGTATATT